GGGAGCTGTCCTCACTTCCCTAATTATGTTTAGCTTACATACCTTACGTTAGTTTATATTTATTTTGTTACTCTGCATTAGAAACCAGCCTGGGCTGTAGCTGACTGCCACTGGGAACTTTGCTGACTTGATCAGTCAGTTTGAAAGTGTGAAAAGTTCAATATAAATAATATTCAGATACTGTAAGTATTCAGAAAGTCTGCTTAATTGAGGTCCACTCTCCTCTCTTACTGTTTCAGCAGGTCTCTGGTCCAGTTCGTCAGGGGCTCTGAACTTCAATCCGAACCCCCTGGAGCTGCTGGGCTGTACTGGGCTGAGCTGGCCTTTGTCGGTGTCTTTGGACCACCCTAGTTTTTGTTCCGTTCGCCCTGCTAGACAATGGCCAGTGGTCTGTGGTCTGAGGGTCAGATCTGGTGTCCCACCTGTCTGAACATCCTCACGGATCCAGTGACTCTTCCCTGCGGACACAGTTACTGTATGGGCTGCATCAGGACGCAGTGGGACCGGGTCGATCATATCGGCGTCTACAGCTGCCCCCAGTGCGGAGAGACCTTTGCCCAGCGGCCCGACGTGCACAGGAACACAGAGCTGGCCGACGTGGTGGAGCAGCTGAGGTCGTCGAGCTTCCACGATCCGCCTCCTGCCCCCAGTCCTGCTGGCCCTGGAGATGTGCTGTGTGACGTCTGCACTGGGAGACCGGCGAGGGCTGTGAAGTCCTGCCTGGTGTGTCTGGCCTCTTACTGCCAGACTCACCTCCAGCCTCACCGCCAGTCTCCCGCTCTGTCCGCGCACCCGCTGGTCGACGCCACTGGGCGCCCGGGGGGCACGGCTCGTGCCGATCCGCAGGGGCCGTGGGATCCGCTGTGGCAGATGGGTGGTGACGGCCGCAGCTCAGCGGTTGCGAATCTGGTAAGGATGACAATTTAGCACAGCCGCTCCAGGGCAAGTGAGCCGGGTCACAGGCAGCTTTAAAAAGACATGAAGGCTTTCCTCAGAGATGAGGCAGCAGGTCTCTCCAGCGTCAGACCTGGAGCTCGTGG